CTCCGACCCGGGAAGCTCGGTGACCGGCATCGGTGCCTCCTTCCTAACTGCAGAGGCGTCTGTCTGCCCCAGGTGCAGGGAGGAGAGGGGAGAGCTTCTGGCCGCTGAGGAGGGAGAGGAGAGGCGGGGAGTAGGCGTTGGGGCTGCGGGGGCGAGCAGCACATGCAGCTGGCCAGATGCTGGGAACTGTTTGCTAAGGACACAGCACCCCCACTTAATCGGAATCCCGGGATGGACTCCAGAGAATGCCCTGCGTCTTCCGGGTCAGTATAACCTAATGTGACCAGACATCCCACTTTTGGCGGGACAGTCCGATTTTTAACAATGTGTCCCGCGTCCTGCGGCGTTTTAAAAAAGTCCAGAAGATTTAAAAGATTCTTTCCAAAAATCGGGACTTTTTTGTTGTTGTTGTTAAACGCCGCAGGACGCGGGACACATTGTTAAAAATCGGGACTGTCCCGCCCAAAGCGAGACGTCTGGTCACCTTAGCATAGCCATCGTCAGAAAGGTGAGGCAGCAGGTGGAAATTACAGTTCATAAAGCCCATCCTTCTTCTCTAGCTTCTAGAACGATGGCTGGCACAGAGTAGGTCCATGATAGACATTGAGTGAACGAATAAAGGGATGAAGAAATGCTTTCGTCACCCACGCATGATCGCGTTTAACCTGCAAAATGAAGCAGGCGTCGCCTTGCTTTGTGGATGGGAGCTGAGATCCGGAGGGTAAGGTCATTCATTCTCCGTACGGCACTCCGCGGAACATTCTTGGTATAGCATCCTGTGACTCCATGTGAACTTCCTTTTGGGTCAGAAAATAGCCCTTCAGGGGAGGAAGTGGAGGGTATGGGTGGGGAGTGAAAAAAAAGGAAAGAAAGACAATAGCCCTTCAGGGGAGGAAGTGAAGGCTTAGGGCGGGGAGTGAAGAAAAGGAAAGAAAAGAAACTAACCCCTCAGACACCCAGTTTCCTGGACGCAGCCTCAGGACTAATTTCCGCTCTCCTGGTCTCCGGGAACACCTGGCACCGGAGCTGCTCCGGAAGGGCCCTCCTAGTCTCTGTTGCCACATCTGACAGGAGGTCCGGGCCCTGGGACACAGAGCGGGTGGACTGGTGGCTTTCCTCTGGGAGCCAGGAACCGAATGAAGTCACACACATTCAGTTCCTCATTCCCTCACTCTTGACAGAAGCATCAGACGGCCTAGACCACCGCGCTAGTTCCTGGATCTCAGGCAAGCAACCCACTCGCATTACACACAGCAAGTGCTTTCCAGGAGTTCGAGCCCAGCGCCCCCGGAGTGTTTCTGGAAGGAGCTCTCTGAGGCCAGCCGGCAGGAGGGCTCCCTAAGCTGCCACTTCTTCCATCACCCGGCCCTCTCTTCGGGGCATTCTGTCTATAGCCCCCTCCTCTGGAGGAAGTGAGGTATAAGCATCGGAACAAGGACCAAGTTCTAAGGGTCCTTGCTGGCTTTGCCACTCCTCAACTATATATATATCTCCTCTCGACCTCATTTTCCTCATCTGCAAAATGGGAATGTTTCCTAACACTTCATAAGGTAATGGGGAGTTTAAAGAGGAATGATTTGTTGCAAAGTGCTTTTTAGCACAGGACAGAAACAATGCCTGTATTATTATTAAATTTTTATGGCAAAAAAGGAGAGAGAGAGAAAGAGAGAGAGGAGAGAGAAACTTCCAAAGAGCCTCAGAGCTCTCTGTTTCCACTTGTTCACCGATTCACTCATAAGAAAGCACCAATGTGAACAAGGGATGCACAGATGCTGAGGGAGAGACAAAGATAGGTACGATGTAGCTTTTGTCCTTAAAGAATTGAAAGACTAGCACAGACTGTGCACCAAAAGATGGACGCAGGGATTTCAGAGAGCTCGAAGGCCACAGCATGCAAGGGACGTTTTGTGAGGAGTCGGAGGCCCCAGCGTTGTTCAGCCAGGTGAGGAGGCCGCAGAGGGAAGGAAGGAGTAGAGGGCTGTCATGCTGGCCGCATAACGGTTGTCCAAGCCTCTTTGCTGGGGAGGAAATGAAGTCATCCTCCTCTCAAAAATCAGCATGACAGCCTCCAGCCAAGTAATCTGGAGTCATGAGGGCTGCCGGGGAGCTCTGTGAATCATGGCAGTCTGCTGGGAATTTCCTGATCCTTAGCCTGAGTTTCGGGGTAAGTCCTAATGCTGCAACGTTCCTATTTACATTCCGATCACGTTTATTTACAATTAATGGATTCTAAATCCAAACAAAACAGGTCACCGTCTTAGAGGAAGCAGCGAGGCCTCTCTGAGAAGCACAGCACCTCTGACTCAGTCCGTCCTCCCCGAGGCTGGCAGCTTAGCAGGTTAACCGGCGGTGCAGAACAACTCTCTCTGGAGGACAGAGGATCACCTGCCTTCCTACAGCGGGATGGTTAACTTACACTTTCCGCGGGCAGAGGCTGGCATCCGGAGACCTCTGGCCGGAACGGAGCCAAGAGGGCTGGCACTGTCCCTGCCCTCCTCCACCTGTCCCTCTCCAGTGGAGCCACACTCAAGGTCCAGCTTTGCCAGGCAGCAAAATGCTGCAGGTGTAGCAGAGAGAGAGAGAGAGAGAGGGAGACCAAGTCTTGGGTGTGACCTTGGGAGTTTACAGGGAGGGACGCAGAGCTCTCCTCTCCCATCAAGGGGGACAGTCTTGGTGGGTAGGACCCAAGGGACCCCCAAGCCCAGGTCCCCAATACTCGGGGAAAGGGGTGTGTGTTGGGGGGATTGGGGTGTGTGTGAATGAACCCCAGAATCCCCCCTGTGCTCCTTCAGCTATGCCAGAGGGATATGTGCATGTGCATGTGCCTGTGTACAAAACTCCTTGCCTTCGCACAAGAAGAGCAGGCTGTGCTTTATTCATGGTCAGTCTTACTGGAGGTCAGTCTTATTTTTAAAAAAATATATTTTATTGATTTTTTTACAGAGAGGAAGAGAGAGGGATAGAGAGTCAGAAACATTGATGAAAGAGAAACATCGATCAGCTGCCTCTTGCACACTCCCTACTGGAGATGTGCCTGCAACCAAGGTACATGCTCTTGACCGGAATCGAACCTGGGACCCTTCAGTCCACAGGCTGACGCTCTATCCACTGAGCCAAACCGGTTTCGGCTCAGTCTTATTTGACAAGCAATTACTTTATCTTATGAGAAACAATGCCCTGCAATGAAGTAGAACACTACATAAACATGCATTTGACATTATGTTTTTGGAATGGATGATTTAAAGATGTGTTTTCTTTTCTTTCTTTCTTTTTTTTAAAATATATTTTATTGATTTTGTACAGAGAGGAAGGGAGAGAGATAGAGAGTTAGAAACATCGATGAGAGAGAGTCATCGATCAACTGCCTCTTGCATACCCCCTACTGGGGATATGCCCACAACCAAGGTACATGCTCTTGACCGGAATCGAACCCAGGACCCTTCAGTCCCCAAGCCGACGCTCTATCCATTGAGCCAAACCGGTCCTGGCTAAAGATGTGTTTTCAAAAACTTAAACAGTGTTAAAGAAATCTTCTCTTTCTTGTCCTCCAGTTCCCCATTCCTCTCATCACAGGTAAAAGGGAACTTCCTGCCCCTCTACAGCTCACTGACCACATCAATAAGACCTTCCTATTCCATTGTCTTTGTTCACTAACTGTACGCTGGCCCAGGCATGTAAATGGGTTGCTCAGTCCCACCGGTGTGGCTCAGTGGCTAAGGATTTGATTCCCCATGTAGGGAGTGTGCAGGAGGCAGCATTTGATGTTTCTCTCTCCTTTCCTCTCTGAAATCAATAAAAATCTATTTAAAACAAACAAAAAAATAATAAATGGATTGTTCATTATAGGAACTTCCTGAAAGTCCCATCAACACTTCCATAGAAAAAAAGCATCAACAGTGTGTGCCTAAGACTTCGTTTTCACTCCTGCAATATTGTATCACGACCCCAATCTAATCCTGATCAAGCCCTCACTTTCCTTTTTGCTCAGTCCCCCCGCCAAACCAGCCCTTCCTTGGCCCAAACTGCAAATTCTCAATAGAACCCGACCTCGCCTGCGCCCCATCCCGCCTCATACACTGCCAGCCTCCCTCACCGAGGCCTCAGCTTTGTCGCATCCTCGGGTTGCATTGATAATTGTGGGGGAGAGCCGGCATTCTGCTGGAATCAAACACTGTGACCACATGTTTGTCTGTGTTTTCAGCGAGGGCGTGACACGTGCACTTCACACGGAGAAAAAGACTTCCCAGCCACGGACCCTGGGTCCCTGCTCCTGGACCAGAGGCGGCCCGGCGGGAGGTTGGAGCTGCACAGGGGTGGTGGTGGGAGTGGGGGGGCATCGGAGCTCCCCAGCGCCCCCCCCTCCGCCAATGGGTGTGTATGTGGGAGGGTGGATTGCCCCGGGCGGGCCCGGGCCTGGGGCTGCAGGTGCCTCTGCATCGATCCGCTCAGACCCCGCGTCCCCGCCGCTCGGTCACCAGGGAGGAGGCGCGGGTCCGGCGCGGCGGCTCCGGGCGGGGAGGGGAGGGGAGGGGAGTGGACGGGCCGGGCGGGCCGGGGCGGGGCCAGCGCCTGGGCGGGTCTACATATACCGCCCGCGCCGGGGCAGCTCGCAGCGGGACACCGGAGCCCAGCACCGGCCAGCAGCACCCCGTCCGCCCGTCCACCGTCCGCCCGTCCACCGTCCACTCGCTTGTCCACCCGCCCCAGCCGGTGAGTGCAGGCCGCCCTGGGCGCCGGGAGGATGCGCGCCCGCCCCTGCGGCTTCCCTGCCCCCAACCCGCTGCCCGGCTGCCCGCTGCGCCCCGCGTGCCCCGGTGCCCGCGGGTCCGGTGCCCGCGGTGCCACCCCCTGAGCCCCGGAGGAGAGATGGCCCCGCGGGCTCGCCCCGCAGGTGACCCGGGCCCCGCCCCGAGCGGCCGTTCCCGCCGGCGGCTCCCCTCTCCGCGGCGCCTCTGACTTCTCCTTCCCGCCAGGCCGCCGTCTGCCCGAGCCCCGCCGCCATGAGGGTCCCGCCAGCCTGCCTGCTCCTCTGCGCGCTGGTCCTGAGCAACTGCGAGGTGAGCGACCTCCCGCTTCCACTCCTGGCGGGGGAGGGGGCTTGCAGGACCCCATTCCCCCCCCCCCCCCCCCCCGCCCCTAACAGGCCAGGAGAAGGCAGGGCTGGTAGGGAGCTGCCCCCCACGCCCCATCCCATCCTCAGCAGGGCCAGATCCTCGGGGCAAGGGGACAGGTGTGGCCAGGGGCCCGGAGAGCCAGGGGAGCTGGCGCTTGCAGGCCAGAGAGGAGGAAGAAGCCTTGGGAATGGCCCCAGCCGGCTGCCACCTGATCTGGAAGCTTGCTTGAGTCAATCCACTTCTCTTCTCCGGAAACCTATGATCGATATGATCGATCTTCCACTTGAGGGCTAGTCAGATATTTCCAGGGTGAGGAGGGAGGGAGCTGTAGGGAAGGATGAGTTTTGGGATTGGGGCCTGTTTATCCACACCCTGCGGCCCCAGGGGCGTGGGACCTTTGGTGACCTTTGCCCATCCCTCCCCCCGGTCTTTTCCAGGACAGCCACGATCTTCACGCCGAATCGGCTGCGGGTGAGTATCCACCCCTTGCACAATATCTGGCTGCACAAACATCTCGGGGAAGCCTCAGGAGACGGCCCTTCCCTGTCCCTGATGCAGGGCTGGCTCCCCCTCACCGCCTCCTCCCATGCGCCTTGCTTACCCACCCCCGCCTTTGTCATTTTCAGCAAGCTGTGGCTGTCTGAACGGAGGCACATGTGTGTCCTACAAGTTCTTCTCCAACATTCATCGATGCAACTGCCCGAAGCGATTCCAGGGGGAGCACTGTGAGATAGGTACGGAGATCCTTCCTCTGTCTGGGGGGCGGGGCACAGGAGATCTGGGGGCAGGGAGAGAGGGGTAGGATGCAAGAGCAGACAGGGGGCAGGAGGTGGGGGTGGAGAGGGGGCATCATCCCTATGCAATGTGATAGACACATTGCATCCTACCAGCACACCTCCCAGGATGACCTCTGACCCTAACTGACCTAGGGACAGACAGCTGCTCCCTCAGCATAGGGAGGGCAGAGTCAAACACGTAAACACACATTGTCTTGTAAGCTGTGGCTGCACATACGTGAAGTGGGGTGGAAGGAGAGTTTCTAGAGCCTTCTACCAGGCCTGAGAATCACCGAGGCCTGGCAGGATCTCTAAAATGCCTGTCTAGCCCAAACCGGTTTGGCTCAGTGGATAGAGCATCTGCCCTGCGGACTGAAAGGTCCCAGGTTCTATTCTGGTTGGGGGCATGTGCCTTGGTTGCAGGCACATCCCCAGTAGGAGGTGTGCAAAAGGCAGCTGATCAATGATTCTATCTCATCGATGTTTCTAACTCTCTTCCTCTCGGTAAAAAAAAAAAAAAAAAAAAAAAATCAATAAAACATATTTTAAAAAAAGAATAAACTAAAATGCCTGTCTGAACCTCCTTCTCTTCTTGATCATCTCTCATCCTCACATCCTTCCACAGATACGTTGGCAACTTGCTACCGGGGAAGAGGTCTGACTTACCGAGGGAAGGCCAACACCGACCACATGGGCCGGCCTTGCCTGGCCTGGAACTCTGCCAACGTCCTTCAGAAAATGTACCACGCCCACAGGCCCGATGCCCTCCGGCTGGGCCTGGGGAAACACAACTACTGCAGGTGAGGTGGGCCTCACAGAGCCCTTCCGGGCGCGCCCTGGCGCTTCCAGAGTGCTGGCCGTCTGGCTGAGTCTTCCCTGGAGGGGAGGGGGCGGGAAAGACGTTCTGACACCTCTCTCCCGCCCTGTGTTGCCAGGAACCCGAACCACCAGACGAAGCCCTGGTGCTATGTGCAGGTTGGCCTGAGGCAGCACGTCCAGGAGTGCATGGTGAACGACTGCTCTTTGCGTGAGTGCCACCGGCCTGCGTAGGACAGGGGGTGGGAGGGGGCGCATTCGTGTGTCCTCTGATCCCGTCACAGGCAAGGTGACCAGACGCCCCGCTTTTGGCGGGACAGTCCCGATTTCTAACAATTTGTCCCGCGTTTTAAACGCCGCGGGACGCGGGACAAATTGTTCAAAATCGGGACGTCTGGTCACCTTAATCACAGGAGGGGTGAGGATGGAGGCCTGCCTGGCCCCCCAAAGCTGGGAGGTCAGAGGATGAGGAGGGGGACACTGTATCCTACCTATCTCCCCAAGACATCCCTCCCTCTCTTTCTCCTCCAGGAAGGAATCCGCCCGCCAAAGCGGAGTTCCAGTGCGGCCAGAAGGCCCTGCGGCCCCGCTTTAAGATTGTCGGGGGAGAGCCCACCAGCATTGAGGACCAGCCCTGGTTCGCCGCCATCTACAAGAGGCAACGCGGAGGCTCTGTCACCTACATGTGCGGGGGCAGCCTCATCAGCCCCTGCTGGGTGGTCAGCGCCACGCACTGCTTCATGTACGTCCCTCTGCCTCTTCTCCCCGGCCCTCCTGCCACGCCCCACACGCGTCCCTTTCTCCTCCCCGGCAAAGGATGCCCCTCCAGTTCTACCCTCTCAGCCCCTTCATGTGGCCCATCGCCCTGGGGACAAGTCACGCTCCACAATGCGTCTATCACATCAGATAGGGATGATGCCCCCCCACTCCACCCCCACCTCCTACCCCCTGCCTGCTCCTGCATCCCGCCCATCTCTGCCCCATCCAAGACCGCCTGTGGGGCCGCGGTGGTGGGGAGGGCGTGGAAGTGACGGGTCCTCCTTTCCCACAGTAATCACCAGCAGAAGCAGGACTACATTGTCTACCTGGGCCGGTCCAAGCTCAACGCCAACACGCCGGGGGAGATGAAGTTCCAGGTGCAGACGCTCATCCTGCACGAGGACTACAGCGCGGACACGCTTGCTCACCACAACGACATCGGTGAGTGGAGAACGCTCACCTGCCGTCACGAGGAGGACCCAGAGAGGAGGAGGGGTTCAAAGAGAGACGCCAGTGGGAGGTTGAGGTGGAAGGCAAACCTGAAGACTCTACTTTACTTGACAAAGGGGGCGGTGGGGAAGGGGTTAGGGAGCTTCCCTGTAGAGCCCCTGAATTTCCTTCCAACAGGTAGCCCTCCCCGGGTGGCAGTGGCCCCCTGGGCAGGGCTTAGGCTGGGATGCCCCTTCCTTTGTTGGAGGCAGACTCTGTCCCAGGATAGAAAACTCAGGCAGAGCATAGGGCTGGATGTCAGCCCAGCTACCTCAGTCAGGGCTTTTTGTAGGAAAAAAAAACACACAAAACAACCTCTCCTTCAGCTGTGTGCAGGAGCCCTGGCTGCCCGCGCCTTTGGCAGTGGCTGGAACAAAGCCCACGAGGCGTGAGAGAAGGGAAACTTGCTTCGTTCCTACGAGCACACTTCCTCCCAGGATGACCTCTGACCCTAACTGGCCTAGGGATAGACAGCTGCTCCCTCAGCATTGGGAGGCAGAGATGGTGACCGCCTGACCAGCTGGTGATCTTTCCCCTCTGACCTCTCCCTCCTTCTCCCCTCTCCCAGCCTTGCTGAAGATCATTTCCGACTCGGGCGAGTGTGCACAGCCGTCCCGGTCCATACAGACCATCTGCCTGCCCCCGATATACGGAGATGCTCGCACTGGCACAAGCTGTGAGATCGCCGGCTTCGGAAAAGAGAACATCTGTAAGTGACCTTCGGGGCTGGCTGAGGGGTCCTGGGGGAGGACTGTCACCTGGGAGTGAGCTCCGCTTGATGAAGGGAGGATGTGGAGGTAGAGAAGGAGCATGGGGAATAGCAGATGGGTCCAGAGAAGGCGTGGGGATCACTGTTTAGGGAATGATGAACCATAACGGTGAGTGGAGGGGGAGGGGCTATCTGAGGGGCTCAGATTAGGGTGGGAGGAGAATAGGGGCTTTCCCCAGTAGGAATATGTTTTGGTCCCCTCCCTGGCAGAGAGTCCCAGTAGAGAAGGGCAGGGCAGACACATCGTAAGGTAACGTTCTCCACATTTCTCCCATCTAGCCGACTATATCTATCCAGAGCAGCTGATGAAGGCTTCTGTGGAGCTGATTTCCCACCGGCAGTGTCAGCAGCCCCACTACTATGGCTCTGAAATCACCACTACAATGCTGTGTGCGGCCGACCCCGAGTGGAAGAGAGATTCTTGCAAGGTGAGCGTTTTAAGCATTTCCAGCCAAAGCCCCAAGAAGCCAGAATCAGGAGCTCAAGTTTTAGGTTCAGACCAATGCTTACGTTTCTCCCGAACTCTTGTCAGCTGGTCTCTGTGCTAGGCATTTTAGCTGCGGGGAGAGAGGAGGACGAAGAAGAAACAATAGAAAATAATACCACTCAGTGCTCAGAGTGTGGCGTTCATTATAAATGATCAGATGTTTAGGCGAGGGAGCTGAGTGGCCATGAGATAGTACGGAGGGGAGGCTGTACAGAGAACGTGGCTCCACAGGGACTGGAGGAGGCAGAGGGGAGGCTGGAGAGCATGTCAGCTGCAAGATACGGAAACGAGAGTGAGCACAGCACATTCCAGGGCGGGAGAGAGATGGGGTCTGGGGATGTAGGCGGAATGGTGGCAGATAGCAGGGCTTTGAAAGCCAGCCAGAGCATTTTGAACTTGGTGTGGCAGGAAATGGGGAGTCACTAAGGACGTTGACATTGGAAAGCTCTCCCTTCTCTCTGGGGTATGACTGAGGAGTAGGATCCGACTGCCCCCTTCCTAACTTCTTCCAGGGCTCACTTTCTGTGTTTTTGGCTCAACAGGGAGACTCGGGGGGGCCCCTGGTCTGCCCCACCCAAGACCGCCTGATTCTGACTGGGATTGTGAGCTGGGGCAGTGACTGTGCCATGAAGGACAAGCCGGGTGTCTACACGAGGGTCTCCCGCTACCTGTCCTGGATCCGCACTCACACCGGGGAGGAAAATGGCCCAGCTTCCTGAATGGCCCGGCCCTTTGGGGGCCCCCGGGAGCCACGGAGGAGAGGAGCGGCACCCAACTCCCACACTGACCGGCATTTCTGCAGCAGCTCCGTCCGCACCGGCCACATATACGCAAGGGGCTGAGGAAGAGAGGCTCTGCAGAAGTGGTTTTGCTTGTGCTGCCCACCAGGGTGAGCAGCAATGGCTTTATCCTCAGATTCTGGACTGGGTGCCGGATGCCCAGGTCCCCTTTGGCCAGGATGGAGGGGTGGTCCTGACCCAGGATGGTACTGACCAGTAGTCTTTGGTTTTTGTTTGTTTGTTTGTTTTGTTTTCTGGAGATAAAAATGACATCTCCTATGCTTGGGAAGAAGAGGTAGCTCCCCCAACAGAGGACATTCGTGAGGCCCAGTGTTGGGAAATGAATCATTTCCCAATTAGGAAGTGCAACAGAACTGAGGTCTCTCGAGGGAGCTTGGCCAATGTGGGAACAGTGGTTGGGGGAGCAGGGACGTTAATAACTTGAGGGCAGGGCGCTGACATTCCATGAATGTATCAGGAAATATTATATATGCATGTGTATGTTTGCACACCTGTGCTCGGGCTGTGAGGAGTCAGAATGAGTAAGAGCTGGTGTTCCTGTGTCTACGTCTAGATATTTCCCTAAACTGTATGGACTACGATGCCACATAGCATGACCTGTCAGGAGAGGTCATGGGCCATTCCTGGCGCCTCTTGGGTCTCCCATGTGATGAAGCCTATGAATGTATCATTCTGGGCATGGCTCGTGACCGGCATTAAAATTTCAGTTTCACTATCACTTCACTGTCCCTTCCTTGGACACTTATCCCTTCTGACCTTTCAGCCAATGCATCCCGATCCTCACTGAGTGAGGTGAGGACCACTCCTGTATACACTGAATATTTAATTATATTCTGCTATTTTTATTTATATCTATTTTTATAATTTTGAATAAAGATGATTAATAAAATGTGATTTTTTTTTTCTAAAGACTTTTGTTCTTCCCTGGTGTTGGTATGGGAGGGCGTTGGGGAGCGTAAAAAGCAGAACATGGCCTTGGTGGCACGTACCCCAGAGTTTCTTTTGGGGCTGCATCTCTGGAGTTCGTGGGGCGTCACAGACTCCGAAAACAGGGAGTTCTAGGGTAGGCCTTCCACCGCACACAGGCACAGGAGGAGCTGTAAGCCAGGGACCCACAGTTTGGTCCATGGTGTGCAGGCTGGGTATCAACCCCAGTGCCCTCCGTAACCTGATGCTTTTGCGCAGTGCACATCTTGTATAACTATGTGTGGTGATCCTCTTTAGTATTAGTCTCTTCACTCTGCCCACAACAACCCCAGGGCTGACCTCAACCAAGCGGAACACGTGCCTGAGTGGAAATTATTGATCCAGAACCCAGCCAGCTCGAGCCTGTCGGCATTCAGGGAACGGAAAACATAACTGCCCGTTAACTGTGGGGCTAGTGCCGAGTGTTCTCAATATGCTAATGGAGCTCCCGGCCTGCCATTGCTATTCTTACAATCGGGTGGCTCAGAGCCCGACACTGGTTGGTATCCTAATGGAAGTGAGCATGTTTTGAACCAAACATCAGCTTTTAAAGAACCAGAGCAGTGGTCGGCAAACTCATCAGTCAACAGAGCCAAATAGCAACAGTGCAACGATTGAAATGTCTTTGGAGAGCCAAACTTTTTCAACTGAAACTTCTTCTAACGCCACTTCTTCAAAACAGACTCGCCCAGGCCAGGGTATTTTGTAGAAGAGCCACACTCAAGGGGCCCAAGAGCCACATGTGGGCCGTGAGCCGCAGTTTGCCAGCCACGGAACTAGAGTATAGAAGGCAGGCAGGGAGGCAGGGTTGGATGCCCAAAGACTGGAGTTTCCAAGCGGTGCTAATGGGTTTGGCAGCGTTTCTTACCCAAGTCACCTGAGAGGCTTTTAAAAAACATGTACCTGCCTATATTCCACCCGCAGAGACTGCTGCAGGTCGGGGCTGGGGCCAGGCTCCGTGCCTTTGAAGAGCTCAGGTGTTTCCGATAAGCACCCTGAGTGGATGTCTTTGGGGGACAGTCGGCCAGACTGCGCGAAGCGCCCAGTAAATTCAAGATGTGGCCAGCATGTGTCCCCTGCACAGTCAGATTTCTGCATGGGGTGCGGGGGTGCCAGGTCTCCTGGGCTCCCGAGGGCCCCAGGAGGGCAGGGACCCAGCGTATTCAGCTTTTTGTCTTTGTTGTTGGAAAGTTGGCGGATACCTTTCTTGCTTTGGGGGTGGAGGGTGCTCAGGAGCTCTTGGTGGGCGGCGCTTCCTCCTCACCCTCACGGGCTTCCGGCTGCTCAGGGGCAGCTGGCCCTGCGCGTGGCGGCCATGGGCCGGTGCCGCGGTACTTGCTCCTGTGGGTCAGGTGCCGGCCCTGCGTTCTTGTGGATGGTGGTCCGCGTGTAGGAGGTGGCGGCTTTCACTACCTGATTCTCCACTTCATGGCGGACGCCACACCTTTGCCCTGGGCCGCAGGCTCCACGCCCACTGTCTTGCGGTGAATCACACTGTTGTAGCGAAAGGAGCCGCTGGCCTTCAGATTCAGATGATTGGGTTCGGTGCTGTCCGTCTGTTTGTTGCTCTTTTTTTGTTTTTTAAAATATACTTTATTGATTTTTTACAGAGAGGAAGAGAGAGGGATAGAGTGTTAGAAACATTGATGAGAGAGAATCATCGATCAGCTGCCTCTTGCACACCCCCTACTGGGGATGTGCCCGCCACCAAGGTACATGCCCTTGACCGGAATCGAACCCGGGACCTTTCATTCTGCAGGCCGAGCTCTATCTACTGAGCCAAGCTGGTTTCAGCTGCTTGTTGCTCTTGATCAGGAAGCTGGCAGACCATCCACCGCAGGTGGAAGGAAAGCGCCCAAATAGTCAGTCATTAATCCCCATAACCGAGCACGCTGTCTTATTCGGTATGATGCAGTGGCTTCAGAGCGTGGGTTTTGGAGTCGGGGGGCCAGGATTAGAATCCTGGCTCTAACACTAGCTGTGTGATTTAGGAAAGAATCTTAACCTCTCTGAGCTCTGTTTCCTCTTCTGTAAAAGAGGTAATACCATCTACCTCCTGGGATGATGACAAGGATTCAGGAGCTCAGAAATCTCCCAGCAGAATCCTGGCACCTAGTAAAGGCACAGAAATGGTGGCTTTGATCACAAAGCCACGTAACTTCTTGTGGAGCTGAACGCACCCCACCCCCCTCACCACCCTAGGATGCACTGGGGTGTTCTGTGTGAGCTGACACTTGCTAGGAAAGGGAAGGCCTGCAGTGAAGTGAAGGGGCCCAGCCCAGACTGAGTTGCCGCTCAGCCTCTGCATTCGCCCCAGGGGCTGAGGAGATCCTGTTCCAACATGAGCAGCGCTAGCATCAGGGCTCACAGACTCCGAAAACAGGAAGTGTGAGCTCCACGGGCTGGATTGAGCAATGACACGGCTAACTCTGCTCAGACGGTTTCCCAGCCACCACCCCGACCCTCAGCCAGCCGCTGCCTCTTCCCCGAGACGTGGACGTCTCTCAGGGCTAGCAGACATCAGCGACTCCTCCACCACCAGTTTCATGGCTCCCGACTCTACCCTGCCCCTCACTGTAGGCACTGCCTTCTTCCCGTGCTCGCCATGCACTGGACACTGAGTGAAGTTCTTCACATAGTATCTGGTTTAACCCTCACAAAAATCACAGAAGGAAGGTGTGATCATCGGCCCCATTTTACAGGAGAGAAAATGGAGGCACAGAGAGATTGAGGGACTTGCCCAAGGCAGTGCAGCTGGCAAGTGGCAGAGCCAGGCAGCGGTCTGCAGAGTGCCCTCGCCAAGCACTGACATCTGACCTGTCAGCAGGCCCAGCTGAGGAAAGGAGAGTGGTCCTCCTTCCGAGGTCATTCCTTCAAGGATGCTGGGGGGTCCTGGGTAAGTGTGTTAGGATTTCACCCCCCTACCTGGATTATAGTCCTTTCCTCTTAAAGGAGACCACACGGAGCCACCAGTTTCAAAGGAAAACCACCTTCTCGAGCTAACCTCAGTCTTTTTTGTTGAAACCCGGTTTCATTGAAGTGGTTTCCGTTTTCACCAGAACTCCTCCTTCGGAAATGTTCTGTACACCATTCCATGATCGGGACTCAACTTGATTTCCACTTATACTCTGCGTTCCTCAGACCAACCCTCCACAGCAGCCACATCCCTGCGTGCACCCTCCAAACTCCTCCCAGTGTGTCCGCCTTCTTCCCCAGCAGAAAACATTTGAGCCTTCCCTTTGAACCGGACACAGTGAGAGCTATTTTTAAAATAACAGCATTATGTTTTAAATTTAAAAATAAAATAATTCAAAAACTCCCCCCAAAACATTATTTGCCCTGGCTGGTGTGGCTCAGTTGGTTGGGCATTGTCCCCTGCACCCAAAGATTGCTGGTTCAGTTCCTGGTCAGAGCACATGGAGGGGTTGTGGGCTTAATCCCAAGTAGGGGGTGTGCAGGAGGCAGGCTATTGGTATTTCATTTTCACATGGATGTTTCTCTATCTCTCCTCTCCTTCCTCTCTCTCTAAAAAAATCAATGCAAAATCATAAAAAACCCCCACAGTATTATTGAGATATAATACACTTGCTAAAAAAAACTCACCCATTTAATGTATACAACTCAAGATTTGTAGCATATTCACAGAGTTCTGCAACATTTTCATCATCTCAAAAAACAAACAAACAAACCCCTCAGCAGCAATTCTCTTGTTCTCCTCAATTTCATCGCCCCCTAATCTACTTTCTGTCTCTCTAGGTTTTCCCATTCTGGACATTTCATACACATGGACTCACACACTGTGTGGTCTTTTGTGACAGACTTCTTTTACTTCCCATGATGTTTTCCAGTTTCATCCATGTTGTAGCATGTATATCAGTCCAGTTGCTGAGTTTTAAGTAGCACATTGGGAGAAAAGATAACCTAGGTCCCCTTCTACCTTGCAGTCCCTTTGC